TCTGACAGTGCAGCGCTCCCTCAGTACTGACCCTCTGACAGTGCAGCGCTCCCTCATTCATGTATTCGATTGTCTGCTTGGATGATGGACTCATTTTTCTGGAATGGGACTTAAATCCATGGTCCTCTTACCAAAGGCCAGTGCATCACAACTGACACCTCAACAGAAAGTGGTGAATGTTCCTCAGTGGCTGAATATAAACCTGAAGTTGTCTCTGCGAACCAAAAAGACGATAGCAAATTCATGAGAAGTCCCAGTGAACAAGACATTATGTATCCAAGGATGGACGAAAAGTAATATCTTAAATGTGGCTGTAACTAAGTGTGGCACTTATTGAGTGAACACTACGTGGAAACATTCAACGTGCTACATCTCCCCAGGCCTTCATATGGGAGGGTTGTGTAGTTCCAGCCTGGTCACTGCACAAGCTGCGCCTTCCATGAATGGGTAATCCCAGTGCTTACAGCCAAAAGCATCCCCTGTAGGTTGAGAAAAGATAATGCCAGCTGCATTCCGCCTCATTTTGCTGTGGTCCAGAGTGTGAATGTTAGCCAGTGCTATCACTCGCGCATGTACACACACTTGCTGCCCCTGGTGTATTCACACCTGTTCTTTGTTGAGTTATGGCTCGGCTCTCTGTTGTTATAACACTGCTGTTCACCCATCTGATGGCGTATTACAACAACTTGCATTTATAGAGCGTCTTCAATGGAGTAAAAAGCCCCTAGCCACTTCGCAAGAGTGATTATCAAACAAAATCTGATATTGAACCCTATACAAGGGATTAGAACAGAGGGCAAACAGCTTGGTCAAAGTTTGAAGCAAGGTCTTCAACCAGGACAAGAGACAGAGAGTTTTAGAAAAATAATAAAGCTTAGACAGTTGAAGGAAGATGGGGATGCACAAGAGGCCACAGGTTAAGGAGAATCAAGATCTCAGAGAACTGTCAGGTTGACGGAGTCTACAGAAGGAGAGGAATGAGATCACAGGAGTATTTTAAGATAAGAAATACATACCAACAGCTTTTCCTATCGTTCTGTCTAGACAGAATGTGGCTGACTGCCTAAATTAGCCTTTAATGTCAGTGTATTCTGCACTGATATGTTTCTTGAGTAAAAGGTCCAGCAGTCAGTTACTACACTGCCTACTGTATCATTGCGTGAAGCGATACTCACTCTGCTGAGGAACTGAGCAGATTAAAAGGTCCTTCAGTCTGTTTACAACTGTTTACCGCAAATTAATTCTTGTAAAAATTTAACAAATGGTTTGCAAATTTCTCTTGGAAAGAATAGGTTCCATTCAGATTTCAGAGATTCCAGATATAACACCTGCTTGGATTAGAGTCCGATTATGTGTACTTTGTGTGAACTCCCTGGAACATGTTGGCAGTTTGACATCAGTGAATGTAAGACGATGCATCTGATCATTGCATCCCACCAAGTGCAGTGCAGATTTTCTGTGGGAAAAGCAGGAGTGATGCTGTCATTCCAACCATATCATGCAATTAGCCAGGGAAGAAACAGTTGGAACTTTGCTCGGTCAGAATGCTGTAGATCTCCTGGTTGTGAACTGAGGGGGTAGATTGCAGTCCCAGGCTTGACTTTGATCCTAATTAGTCCCGGCATAAAGCACTCAGGTAGACAACTGTCAGAATGTTTCACTTAGACCACAGATGAAGTGCTCTCTCAATCCTGATTCTCTTACGGTGCTGCACTCCCTCAAAGTTACACCTGCCAACACCAACCTGCTCTGAGACTGCAGCATTTCTCCAGTTACTGCTCCTCTGACATTAGGCGTTCTTTCAGTACTGAACCTCCAACTGTGTTGTGCCCCGTCAGTACTGACCCTCTGACAGTGCAGCGCTCCCTCAGTACTGACCCT